TGTTAAATACCAAGCAATTGGAGTTCATCCAAGATGCATACAAAGTTGATAAATAAATAAATCAGTGCTCTCTCTCTCTCTCTCTCTCTCTCTCACATACATACACACACACACAATCTAGCTAACTAGCTAGCTATGAATGATGGAAATCTGGCAGTGGAAAAGCTGAAATTCCAAAGAGCTCTTTGAAATTTCTCAACTCTCTTTCATCTACGGGGTGAGTGGAAAAGATACATTCTCTCTCTCTCTCTCTTTGGTAAGTACATTTTGTACATGTGAGTGGATGGGTGTGCTTATAGAATATGTTCTAATAAACTAGTTAGAAAATGATTGATTGAGTTCCTGGTTGTTTGGGATCTACTGTCTATGCTCTGACATGGGATATGCACTGCGCGCACACGCACACAAAGAGCGACAATTGCCTCAATGCTTTGACTGGTGATACTTCAATTTTTCCATGTCTGTTGGTGTCTACTGGCTGCTTTGCTCCAGTGACTGGATTCCAGTGAACAGACTGCCTGGCCTTTTCAATCATTGAGTCAAGGCAGGTCTGCACCATTTTCAACTTTAAAACTTGAATTCTGAGCACAGAATTAGCAATTTTTCCATTATGCTTATGGCCAAAGCGATGATTTCTAATGTTTGCATCTGAGAGACAAATCACTTCTACTTGGACTGGCATGTACTGTATATCATTAGCAACATTTCAGTATCAGCATTACTAGTTAAAACAATTCTTTCCCAGTGAACTAGAATGAATGAACTAGGGAATACGTAATAGAACAGAACAAACTCCAGAGACTTTCACTTGAGAAAATCAAAGGCTCCTAATTCAGCGGGGATAAGCAACTTGGAGCCTCTAGGCCACATTGGGCTTTGGACTAATTTAGTGTAGCCCTAGTCCTATTTTCAATGTGGTTCTATGCAAGGGATTAATTCAGGCTCCTGGCAATAGCTGTTCCTTTCCCTGTAACCTTCTGTTTGGGAGAGGGGCCAAAGGCTATCAGGGAAGGGGAAAAAAAAAGTTGAGACCAGTAGACCAGTGTTTCTCAACCTTAGCAACTTTAAAAGGTTTGGCTGGGGAATTCTGGCTGGGGAATTCTGGGAATTAAAGTCCACACCTCTTAAAGTTGCCAAGGTTGAGAAACACAGATGTAGAGTATCCCTAACAGGACATGACTCTTGACAGAAATAGTGCCTAAGGCTCTTTATGCAATTTCAATTGCCTCCTGAGCTCCTGCAGGCAATTCCAGTAAAGGACAATTAAGTGTATTTTCAATTTGAATTTGATAAAATAGAAGAGGGTAGATTCAAGACTGAAAATCAATCGATGAAAAAAAAAGGCCATAGTTTCTATTTTAGGGACTGCTGTTTTCAGGGATCATGGAAGCAAGTCTTCTCTATCCCTGCCCTCATTCTGTAGAACGGCATGGTTTTTAGGTAGGCCTTTAAAACATGGCTATTTCAACAGGAAACCATTTCTGCCTCTTTCTCTTTTCTCTGAGTGAATGCACTGCCAAGATATCACCCACTCACCTCCCCCCCCCCAACCCCCCCGGGATCGACACCTCCTTGAGGTGGGGGCTAGTAAAGAACACCGGGACCACCC